TTTTTATTTATTTATATTTCCATTGGACTGCCTATGTTTTATTCATCTAATTTTCACCGTGCATGCTGGACGCCCCCCCCCCTTCCACACACCTCTTCTCTATCAAACTCCTTCGCTCGCACGGGAGCGAACTATTGCTTGTTCAGGCGAGCGTGAACAGATGTCACAGAAGGATCCGTCCTCACGCCTCCTTGCTAAATTGATGAGAACGCTCTCAGTCCATCCAGTTTAACCCGAGCGCCGGAGCCCCGTGGCAGAGCCGGCTGCTCCTCTGCTCTCCGAAGCAACTCTGCGCCTCAGCTGCGACGAGTGAGTGACTTCACCGGGAGGAAAAAGAAAGGGGTTTTTCGCACACTGGCCTGACCCTGAGCTACTCTGATATTATCCTTCACAGCTGATCCCGCTAATGCGCTGGGAATTATGCATTGTCTTTCACTCGGTCCAGCCCCCATCTCCATCTCCCAAAGATTAGTGCTGTTTGTGTGCGAGGGGGTGGAGAGTCAAGGTTAATAAATAAGTTGAAAAGATTATTCAAGTGTGAAAACACATTTTGTTCGGTGGTGAATGTCCCGATTTCACCAGAGGAAATGTTCCCACAAGGCCGGATAACTGTGTTCTGCCGAGAAAAAACACACACACACACACACACACAGCTCGTTTTGCAGTGGTGGTAATGAGATAATTGTGACCCATCCTGACAAAAAGGTCATTCATCAAGTCTTATTATGAGCCGGAGAGAAACTTAAGATGGCAGCATCAATTCATTCCGAGCGGTGGGAAAGCTGACTATCTTAATGAAAGACTGATTTTTGCACTCTTAAATTAGGATCTTCAGGTTTCAGCTCCCCAGGTGCAACATTTCAACGTTTTGACTGACGGTTCTAAGCTGCTGAGAGCGAATCGTCAAAAACAACTTTCATTGCGAGGATGTTTAATTGTCTCAATGTTTTTTTTTTTACATGGCCTCCGATGCCCGCAAGTAATCCGCTGATTAATCAGATCTGACGACTTGTCAACTTTCCCTCAGGAGATTTCTGGACTGAATGTGAATGAGGGAGGTGTTGGCTAGGAGGACACCCATCGAGAAAAGCTGTCTCGGCGTAGTTACCTCCTCCCTCTCTCGTCCTGCTGCTTTTTCCCCCCTCAAACTTCCTCTTTCACCTCTTTTATTTTCTCCGAGAGGGAGAATTGATTAAAACGGGAGAGTGGCTCATTAGATTCTGACAAGCGACACCATATCTGCGGAACACGTGTCCTTGGAGGAAGCCGCCTCGGCCCACGTGACTTAGCGTCGTCAATGCCATCTCCACAGCAAACACCATCCCCAAACTAATTGAAACAAGGTGCTCCGTGGCCCCCGCTATCTGAGGTGACAGTTACGCGGCTCCCACAAATCTGTCCAGGCAAAACTGAGGGGCTTGATTAAAATGCGCCTTCCTTAAGTGCTCCATCAGTGTTGTTTCCCAGTGTGAGAAAATAGCTTTTTAATGTGATACAAACAAGTTGTCACAGATATTTTATCTTCCTGACACTGGGAGGCGGGTTGGTTTCCCTGGCAGGTGTATATTGCCGTGTCAATCTAAACTTCAAAATGAAAAAAAAGGAAAAACAGGGCTACTACCAAACCCATGCATAATGCAACTCGCAGCAGTGCATTCTGATACATCCAGGCTCCTGATAGAACACCGTAGGTTTGTCAGAGCGTACTGCTGGCTACGAAAGGACATTGTTAACTCTAAAAACCTAGAACTCGCCAGACCAAAACCAATTAAATGTGCCCTCTAACAGGGAAAAGAAACAACCACTTCACGTTCAGCACAAGTCCAGAGACTGTCAGCTCTGTTTGCTCTGCAAACAGTTGAAAAAATGTGTGCTGCAGCTGTGGCCGTGGTCACCTTCCTTCTCTGCAGAGAACACAGCTAGTATTACAGAGGGGCGATGCTGCAGGCTTGAACAGCAGCCAGCGGCGGGATCTCTCACCTGCCACGTCTGAGGCTGTTGGGAGGCACAAAGATGCTCTTTGAAGTTAATGAAGCATCAGCATACTTCTTTACCCCCCACCGGATCGTTACGTGCCGCCAATGTCAAGGCTGCACGGAGCACTTGAAAAGAATTAGAGGGGGGAAAAGCCTATTTTTAATCTTAACTTCATAACTGATGCTAAGTCTACCACAATCGGATGTACTTTCACAGAAATGTCTTCTAAAGAGGCCGACTTGCTCTCGCACACATCCCGGGAGGCCGACGGCGTGCCGCGGTGGCGCAGGAGAATACGCTGACAGGCCTGCAGAAGACAAGCAGGGGCTAGCATTTCACAACATCAGCAAAGAGTGCACGGGTCGTATGATCCCACTGTAATGTATCCATGTTGGACCAGCATCAGACACAAGGGCAGGACAGCTGTGCTCCTGTTTCTACAAGCTGCTGCTGAACCCCTCTCTGCAGCGCAAAGCAACCTTACTAATGGATGACGCTCCGCTATAGCAGTCTGCGAGCTTCTGCAATTTGACTGGGAACCCTTTTTGTCTCTGTGAGGGAAGGGCGGCTCTTTTACATTTAACTTGGCATGGTTACCATGGGAACCCTTGCTGAACTTCTAACCAAAAACATTGGCTTTAAAATAATGCTTTCTTGAAGTAAAAGTTCCTAAACGATTGTGGATATTATGGGTCCTCCAAGCACACACGCCAGAAATCTGTGATCGTGAACCTTGATTATTCCATCCATTCATTGTCAAACCGCTTATCCTACACACATGGACAGCCAGGAGCTGTCCTCATTTAACTGTGTAATGTTACTGCAGAGCCCGGCCGGATTGAAATCCGCTACGCAACTGAATTAGTAAAGGCCCGTAGTTGAGCTGGCTTCAAAACATTTGGTAGAGAACCCTGAGTGTGAACATCAGCATCGCCCTTTTATGAGCACGTCAGAGCCGAGGACTGCCGGATATGATTCTCATGGCAGCAGGCACACATGGGAAAGTAAACCCAGGCTTAAGGCGGTTTTATGGGTAGTCCCTAAAATCCCCCCCCCCAAAAAAGGGACTGTGACACCCTGGGAGTGTTCTTCAGGAATACTGTGGAACATATAATGGCTCCCTGATTTTGCTGGTACCCTCAGAGGGTTGAAAGGTTATGGGTTGAATCCCGAGTGAGGGTTTTGAAAAGAACCATTATAACACAGGAAGGGTTCCCTTAAAGTAAAACCCTTTATGTTCGGTTCTAGGTAGAGGACGGAGAAAGTTCCAAGTGAAACGATTAGAAAAACTTCCATCGGGAAACACAGCCAAAGTCGAAGCTCTGCATTGTTCTAGCAAGCAGCCAGCTAATTAAGTACAAATGTGTCGACATGACGCTACATGAACTCCAGACTTCAATGATGGATTCATTTCATCTGCAGGAAAAGTATCAAGTAATCAAGTTGTCAAGTAGAAACACTTTTCTTTATAAGTAATAACTAAGTGTATTAATTACAGTAAACAACAGACTAGTCTACATCCCGCTGAGACCCAAGAGAGTGTTCTTCAAAGAGAGTCATTACATATCCTTTAACTTGTTCTTGAATAACCTGCAAACATGGCTTCAAGGAAACAATGGTGAAAAAATACAGGGATTCAAATTTTGCGTTGGGACTCAATTTGAAAGTGAATGTGTGCAGATTATTGTGCCCACGCATTATTCACCTCACTGACTCGATACAATTATAAGGACAAATGATGAGAATAAACAGAAAGACTGCAGGGACAATAGCAATGGGGTTGGTTAATTTAAGCAATCAATGAAAAAGCGGAAATATAAAATTACTTTGGTGCCTTTTGTTTTGCCTTTTTTCGAAAGGCAGACAGTCCTTCATACCAAAACATCTCTTTGTAACACAATTACTCAATAAACGCTGGCACTGGGTGATTTCCTGACACTAGATCACGTCCCTTACTTTCCTGCATGATGAGCATAGGCTGCTCATTTCATATTTCTATTAACACACTACTAACTAGTCTACAAATAGTGGGCAACCTCTCACAAGGCGGGGAATGACATCACATCCTAACACAGTGGCTTTGTCCCAGCCTTCCGTTTTACCAGTAGAGAATCACACACTGAAAGAGGGGAAACAGAGCAAAGAGAAATGCATTGACACTGTAAGCCACAGCTGTTCACTTCACACCAAGAGCAGAGTTACCAGGGAAGCAACATGAGTCAACATGCAAAGCAATGCGAGTTAGAACACCCCCGCCTGCCAGGAACCCAGCAGCACAAAGAGCAAAGTGTTAAGAAAAAAAACAACAACTTTCCAGCTTGTCCGACCAGAGCAAAACTGTGACAGTCTCCCAATGCCACACACGCAGCTGAGGCCAATAGAAGACGATTCCGACAACAGTAGAGCATGCAGCATATCTGGTATATGAAATATATATTTTTGCTTTGTGTGAAAAAAATCATCTCCTATGGAGGCCAGTGATTAAGTGGCAGGCCAAAGGAACTGATTCAGTTTTGTTCAGCAGTTTGTTGCCCCCGAAAGACAGAAGAGAAAAAGAATGAAATCGGTTACAAAGACAGAGGCACGGGGGCCGCCTGGATAGATGTGAGCATGATGCAAGCTATTTATGACCAATACAGTACCCTCACCTTAAACCTACACCTTATTTCCTTGATGTTATCTTAGGCGCCAATAATAGTCCTGCTTTGTATCGCTCCCACACATGCATCATGGGTGCGTAACAGGGCAGGGTGGAAGTGGGCGGCTGTTGTGTTCCTGCAGTGTGTACGTGTGGTGCTCGGACACACAAATATAGAGGATTCTTAAGGAGGTGGGGGCGGGTTCCCAGCCGCACCGCCCCGCCAGTGGGGAACAGCGGCGCGCCGGTACTTGTGCGTGTACGGATATTTGTGCTTCAATTGCTACTCCTATTGTTTTGCGAGCAGGGGTACTGTATTGATGCGAGCCATGCCGGAGCTACGGAGGAGACGCGAGAACGGGAGCGACCGCCGCCGTCGGACTACCTGTGATGTTGACGTCCACGATGCCGGTGCGAGTCCCGATGCCGTTGGTCGCGTCGCAGACGTAGGTGCCGGCCAGGTCGTAGGTCACCGGCCCCTTGAAGAACAGGGTGTTGTTTTTGATCTCCACGTTGCTGGGCAGGGAGCCGTTCAACCTGTGGAAATAGATAGAGAGAGAGATAGAAAAAGGCAATAATGAATACACTGAAAAAAAACGAGTTACATTACACCTCAGTAGGGAAGAAATAAAATAAAATCCCTCTCCCGGGAGCTGCAAAGCAATTCAAAGTCCATGGGAAAATAGAGTCTCTAGCGCAAAACAAGAACCTGGATGTGAGAAGGTGAGATGAATACCAGAAATATTTGACAGCGGAGAATCCCAGCAGGTCCAAACACGTAAGACACAGTTGATACCTGAGGACACAGGCCTATTTCTCTTGGCATGTGGGATACAAAACATGCAGCGGTAGGAGGAGGGTGAGGAGAGGGGAGGGTGGGGGGGAGGGCTCCTTTTCCTTTAACACGGCTGGACTCAAAGCTCGGGGGAGCCGTCACGAGAGGCAAGTGATCGAGCGATACGTTCAGAATAAATGCCGAGCTGTCGAAGAGACCTGGAGCCCAGTCTCTTTGTCTTCATGGTCGGCTGTATCTCCACGCCGAGCTCCGACTCGCTTATACCCTTTGATCAGGTCAGCACACTTCTGAGGTCACAGAGCACGAGCATGCCGCACCCCTCCGCTCTGTTATCCGGAGCCGTTTTCATGGAGCGTAGAGGCTTTGGGGGGTGAGAGGGGGGTATCAAATTCCGTGACAGTTAGGTGTTTCCTGCCGACTTCCCCTTCGATCAGCTTCATCGGCGGCTCTGAATGGATTTAAGTAGAGCTACAAACGCGACTGTGACGGTATTGAGCGGTGCTCCGGTCTGATCGCGGTGAGCTCTGTGCTGGTGACATTGGTTTCTTTGAACAATAAAGGATGCAGCAAAGACCTTCCTTCCTTCCCTCTCCGGCGCCGCTCTCTGTCAGAGAGACATTTTGTGAGCCGCTGGTGTGCGGGAACATTAAAAACAATGTGATGCTCCATTTACTACCGCCAGAGAAAAACAAAAAGACACTGCGGGGAGACGACGAAATGTGGTCTCACGCCAACAGCGGCCTAACGCCAAGCACTTAGGCTAAGCAGCCTTTCAACAAGGCTCCTCGATGACAGGGGGGAATATATACAGTGACGGGCTATTTGTTAATCAATCTTTCGTGAAATTGCGATTAGAAACTGCTGATCCTTATGCGGTTAAATTCAAATTATCAGTCAGAGTCCGAGGACTCAAAAGCAGAGATGTTTTTTCTCCTCTAGCTACGACGGCGTTCGCAGCAATCTCTGACAGCGTTGTAACGCGTTATGCAACGGAGCTGCAAAAGCAACCCCCCTCAATACAGAATGTCACGATTCAATAATCCGTTACCTGGTGAGGCTCTATCAAAGGCTGGGTTCTGCAAAGCCCAATTGATTTCATCCAGAAATGAAAGGTTGGCTGCGATTCACCACAGATCCAGAGCATTTGTGTGACACATCTGAATATGCGTGTGTGTTTGTGTGGAGCCCAATGTGCAGCAACTTTAACCTTGTATACGGGGGGAAAAAAACCTGCTACAGTTCAAACTTCACTGTAACTTGTAATCAAGTCTAATAAAATAATTCACATTGGCCATGAATGACGGATTTAACAGGAGGAAACAGAATGGTTTCTGTGCTTCAAAGAAATAAGTATCATCAAAAGATCTTTATTCCAGCAGCCATCTGTTTAGTCGGCCTGAGAGTGTCCTTACTTTCATTCAATACCGAATGTGAGCTTTTATTCTCATTGAGGTGCCGCAGAAAACATATTAAATACATTCTGCTTAAGTTAAATGAAGGGTCAATGCACCCGACTGAAATGTCATTAGAAAAGGGGGGCATTAGGGAGCGTCATGAACAGCTACAGGGGAACTGAACCGTTCCTTCACATTGGCCTTTAATTATTACATTATATTACAGGTCATTTAGCTGACACTTGTATTTTATCCATTCACTTACATTGCATTTTTAACCCATGGCTTTTTACATTTTTTGCCCAGGGAGCAGTTATGGGTTAGGTGTCTTGCTCAGGGACACCTTGCGGTTCCCAGCGCACCCAGCGTGAATAGTTGCATCCCATCTTCCCGAAAGAGATACGTGAGCTAGCTAATTACAGTGGAGTTTGGGAAGATCACTATGGTTGGGAACCAAAAAAGCGGTGCCATTTCTATACGGCCGGGACCTACCGGACCGAAACACTTCATTTAAGTCAGCAGCTCCCGTCGGACAATCCGTCCGTCGTTGTTTTGTGCTCTAAAAAAAAACGAAGTATCAGTGTAGGCCCCGGTATCGGATAAACCCAAACTCTTCCCATTCCAAGTGATCACGCTGCAAAAAGCAGCACTGACAAAACCTCCTTTTCATTCACACAGTGCGTTGGCTCGGAGCAACTGACGACAGATTGTGGAGGGAGCTCCTGTGTTCCCTTTCAGGGTTAGAGACAACGCTGTTAAGTGAATTAGTTATTTGTGAATATGAACAACTGTTTGATCCTCCTTTCCCTCTACTTAGTATTCCTGTGCCCAGTGAAGCCCACTAAGCAACTGAGCATGCCCTACAAACAAACGTTTAAAAATCAAACAACAAAGTTCAAACAGGGTGTGTGTTTTATTGCTATGGCTTTGTGCTCTAGGACAAAAAGATTTCGATTTTTTTTTCTTCCCCGAGATTGTAGTAGCTTATTTCAAGGCTCTCCGCACTCCCAAGTGCAAATAGCTGCTAGAATAAACCAAGTGAATTAGAAAAAAAGGAAAAAGATACAAACTTGGGAGCTTTCCTATGAGAATAATGTGGATCTGTATCGGAGGCATTCCTATTCATTGGATTTGGCTGCACCTCTTGTATGTGTGTGTGTATGTGTGTGTGTGTGTGGTTGAGTGGGACGCGATCCTGCCGGCCTGTTCCGGATCCTTCCGTCACAGCCTTGTGCTGACCTCCACAGTGGAGCCCAGGGGAACCTTCACAACAGATTTGGCATCTCGTTTTAAGTGCGGCAATGGCCGTCCCCTCCTATCCGTCAACACAGCGTCCTCGTCTTTCTCGATCACATCTCTTCATCCTCCTCCTCTTCTCGGCATCTTCCGCTAACTCCCTGAATTACTTTTTTGCCTCCGATAAAAAAGACTGAACGTAAAAAAGACAAGCAGGTAAACATTCTTCTATCTGCTCTGTGTTTCAGTGTTTTCTGCCCTCAATGCAAAAATCTATGCATACGGAAAAAAGAGGGGGGTATGCCTCATTAAAATCCAACAGTGGCCCTTAGAGTAGATACAATGAGGCCACAATGGTCTATTAATCCACATCCACTCGAGTCCAATGACATATTTCTCAACCCCGCCTTCACTGAGCAATTACACGACAAATTGCCACATTTATCTCTCAATTTTACCGCATAATACGATAATTTAGAAGAGTGATACGCTCACAAAAGTTAATTTGTATTCGGAGAGCTGAACAGACTTTTTGCAATTTAAAAAAAAAAGATATTTTCCATCCGAGTCTGATCCCTGCAAATTTACAGCAAGCACTCTAGTTTCATTCTAGTGGTCTCAGTGCTCAAATGTATACCACAGAAAATTTCGACACGACCAAATTCCATGCAATTACTCGTGAGCAGATCAAACCCAGGGTTATTCCGCGATTCCTGCAGGCCTTAAAAACTTGTTTGTATCTCTATTTGCTTATGTATTTCCAGCGTAAGACTCCGAGGCAAGAAAACGGTGACGTCTGCCTAGCAGTATGCCGGCATAATCCTCGGCTTCCACTCCAGTTTTTGGCTCCCCCCTCCCCTCTGTGCGTCGGAGACAAGCGTCCCTCCAGAGAACACAACGGCACTAACAAAGGCACTTTCTTAACCCCTCTCCACCTGCATGCCGGCCCCTTCCTACTTCAAAGCGAACGGCCAAAAGCGAAGCAAAGCGCGCTCTGTTTGCGTTTATCTCCAAATATCTGTGGCCGTGCAGATATGGGCGTGTGCAATAGAACATTGAGCTCTGCCTGCCGGTTCCAGGTCTTATCTTAACCTATCTGAACAAACAACAAACAGAAACACATTTCTCAAGAGGATGAAGGGTGTTGGTGTGTTTTTAATCCTTGCGGACTATTTCCATGTATACATAAATAATATATAAATACATACAAAACAAATGTTGGCGAGGCTGTTTCATAAAATAAAGCTATTTTACTTCATTGAGGCCTTTTTTTTGTTCCAACACGTCTTGTCTTCAGAGCCTGAATGGCTTTCGTTAGAGTTCAGTTGCACTCACAGTTTCCACTGGTAGATGGTGACAGGGGGGTTGGCATCGGCTCTGCAGGTCAGCTGAACATTCTGACGGTTCAGGTACCAGTTTTTATCAAAGCCCTCAATCTTCACCTCAGGTTCGTCTGCAAAGGAGGAGCACTGAAATGAGTTCATCGCTTCACGACAACAACCAAAACCACAGGTGTGCCACGTTGCTGTACCTCTGTGGGAGCAAAACTCACATCTGCAAGATAGCTGCATAGGAGAACCTAATCTAGCAAAAATGCAGTTAGCTCCTACATACAGTACATAAGTGTTTCAGGAATATTGTTTAATCGAAAAACATACTTTAAACCTGTCTTTGTAATTGTTATTTCTTCAATGAAGATATTCTTAGTAGAGGTCTACTCTGCTTTTCTGCTCATCCAACTAAAAGTGCTTTGTTTGCAAGGGGACCTTTTGTTTACTGTAAACCGCTGTGATATGTGTGTTATTGACGCAGGAAGCAAAACACAATGCATTGGAAAATTGTTAAGGCTTACGACAAAAAAATCCCAGTATGCTCTGATTGGTTTGTTAAAGATATTGTTAAATCTCTATATGTAGGCGGACCACAAAAAACCCTGACTGGGTTGCCTTGCTTCAAGTTAAAGTTTTGGGGTTGGTAGGCACTTGAGATTCACACAGGTTTTTGCAGAAGCACAGACTAAAAAGCTTTTTTTTTATCACGGGAGAACAGATGCTTACACTGCACGTTGAGCACCACGCTGTCTGTGATCCTTTCACTCCGGTACGTGACGATGCACGTGAGCTTCTGCTTGTGGGTCTCGCGGCTCGGCACCACCACGTAGTTGCTCCGTACCGTCACCGTCCCGTTCTGGTTGCGCGTCTCCTGGAGGGTGGCTTCGCCCTTCAACCTGGTCTCCCATTTGATCACGCTCTGGGGCTTCCCGTTGGCCGACACGCAAGTGGCAACGGTCATCTTGCGCTTGGAGGCTCTGGCCACTATCGTAGGCGTTGTCAAGGTCATACGTGTCATAGGTCGGGCTGTGGAGACAAAGCAAATCAAGTTACTTAATGATAACTAAAGCTCATGAAGCTGAGGTAGTGCATTTTCTTTCATTTCCCATCTAATAAGATATTCAAAGTAAATCAGACCACGGTGGTTTAGATGGCATTGCGGTTCCAGCACTAACCGTGCAAAGTTTTGCCTCTTTCCTTCCTTAAAGCCAAAGCCGTTGTCAAAGCTTTCAGACAACCCACTTGCCTACCAAATGCACAGTCATCCAATTTGAATCCTTTTGTCAGTTGCAAATTAGCCATCTACTTCCAGCACATCAAAGGCCGGCTTGAGCGAATGCACAGCTGAAAGAGATAGGCCGTGAAGAGGCCTCTTTGGCCGCCGCTCGGTTATCTGCACGCAGGTTCCAGACGTTCACTGAGCCGCGGAAGCCTCAAGAAAGATCTGGGAGGCTCGGTGACACAAAATGAGGAATCCGAGATGACAAGAAGCCCCGACAACTTGAGCCAAGTGATTTTATTCTCTAACTGGGGTTTTATGGAAACACGCTAACACTCTACTGAGATGTCTAATCAGAGTGAGCACGCAACCTTTGCAGAGCTGCCCCCTCGTCCCAGGTAAACTACATCTCCGGCCACCCTTTTTCCTCTCCACAAGATGAATTCATTCAAGCCAAATTACACACTCTGAAGTGACTTTATTGATTTTAGGCCCACCTGCCATTTTTATTGACTGTTCTCTGCAGCGGTTTCAATTTTTTCTTTGTTTAAAAGGTCACATGGGCCAATCTGGGAGTGGTGTTAAACGACAAGCTCCCACTCAACGCTGCACGTTGTAGACACAACAGGGTCCTGAATAGAAGGACTCAACAATGATAGCTGTAGGAGCTGTTAACCCAATCACAGGACTGGGAGGTTTAACGGTAAACATCGTGTTGGCAGCAGTAGCTTTGGCAAACAGAGGAACAGCGTCTGGTTTGAGGAGCTCTAACAGAATTCAACCTTTAGCAGTGAAGCCGCTGGCAATGCAACATCGAGCTATAAAAGTGCTTTCGTTTAGCCTTTTGCTTTTAACTGTCAGTGTTATCTGATTCCATTTTTGCTGCCTCGAAGTCGAATGAAAAACAAATTTAGGTGACAGGTTTATAGTCCCTGTGACTTCTCCCCTAGCCAGCAATAAAATGATTTGAGGAAGCTTATGATATATGCTTCTGACAGGCATTTTTGGGACCATAAATCTCATCGATAAAACAGCATGAAGAGGGTTAAGCATTTAAAGTTAGCAACTTCCTGATTACACCAGTCAGATATTTATATATGGGCCAAAAGTAATTTAAATGTGTGCTGTATGTGCTACTATTACATCTGTGGGGACACATTTGATCTAGATAAAGAAGAAAAGATATGACCAAAAACCTCTTCGATTACACGCCGCGTCGTGGGGGGGGGGCTTCTGTTTTTACAGCATTATATATTGATGTTCTCCTTACCGAAAACAGTGAGGTTGACCGTGTTCTCGCGGTTCCCCGCGGGAAACGTGGTGTACTCGCAGATGTAGGCGGCGTCGTCGGACAGCTGCAGGCTGGAGAACACGATGGTGGTGTCCTCCAGCGAGGGCGTGCGGTGGCGGACAGCTGCCTGCTTGAAGCTCACGCGCTCCTTGAAGGGCGACAGGACAGACACGCCGAGGGCCGGGTTGGCTATGGCCACGTTCTGCTTGGTGCCGTTGAGGACCTTCTGCCAGGTGACTTGGGAGATCTTAACCGGCGGGTTGCTGTTGATGAAGATGCAGCGCAGCTCCACTTGTGAGCCCACGAAGCCGGACTTGCTGGAGTCCATCTGCACCATCTGGCCGTCGCCAGCTGAAACAAGAAAAAACGTGTAATGTAATGAGGATTTAACAATTGTCCAAGGCCAAGCAAAGCACTGCAGCCGATAGCGAGTACATGCACAGAGAATTAAAAAAGTTGATTCAGCCTCCCAGGTAGTACTGGCGCGCACAACCCTCAGTCCCCACACACGCTAAACACCACAGGGCCGGCGTCTGCTCCCTATACAGCGATCTCAAGAGTTGCTACATGGCAGCGGCGCGCAAAAGGGGGAGTTATTAACATAATGGGCAGATCTACACGACCTCGTCTTTGTCCACTGCTTCTGAAGGGCCGAGTGTGGTCCAATGCATCACTAATGAATGAGCACGAGGGCGGTGAGGTGGAGCCAAGTCATCGTCTTGCTGCTCCCACCAACTCCCCTCTCCACCTACTGGACCGACACACTGGCTTGCCCATTGAGATTTTAATTACTTTTTACACACAGATACTTCAATGACTGCCTGGAGCTGCTATTAAAACCCCCCAATGTGGAGTCCTGTGTAAGCACTCCAAACAATGGGAACACCCACACTATGTTTATATTAAAAAAAAAACACAAATAGGGTCCCTTCTCCCATAGTCTAATCCTGCAGGGAGTTTGGCGGCATAAAAAAAATAAAAGGTCAATTAGCAAGGACGGACCTTGTGTAAACTTGCCTGTGGTTTATTGTTTCATGAATAAGCTGACCTCTTACTTACGCGCCCCCTGGCTTTTGACGTGATGCTTTTTGCATATACTTCCGGCATTGACTGAACGGCCTGCCTGATGTTATCTGATGCACAAACAATTAAGTGAACAGTGAAAATTAGCTGGCAACACTTTGCATTGATTAGTTCATCACTTTAGTCCTTTGTTATATAAATATTTGCAACTCTTTGCAACTTCCAGCTTCTTAAATGTGAGTATTTGCTGCTTTGATTCTGTTTTGTACACTTAAAAAGCTTTGATCTTTTATGGAAATGATCTAATTCACAAAACCATTATATGCCTCCAACTTAGAAATGTTTTTTTGCTGCTTTTCACTGCGAGTCTCTTGACCACAACTACAAGTCACACCTGATCGGGGGTCTGAAATGACTGCAGCTGTTTCCTCCACAAACATTTGTTATCTCGAGCTGTAATTTATGTTCCTTTCTAGGTGAAGTCTGACAATGTCCCGTTTCCTGGTCCGGCAACCTATAGAAGCTATAATTATTCTCCCGTGGATGGACGTGGACCTACTGGAGGAAACACTCAGTTAATCACACTGGACTCATAAAGCTGCCGTGAATGAAGTCGTAAACAGGAGAGGAAATATGTTGTTGCCTGTTAAAGTGGAGGCCGGGGGCCCCCCGCGCACATATGCCCCACAAATGGAGCGGCTCCTTAACGCTGAGCAACCGCATCACTGTGGCGGATAATCGCTGCCTATCGGAGATAAAGCTTCCACAGGGGGCTTCAGAAATGTGGAAGAATATGTGAAAGAGGGATCGGTTTATGTATACACCCACTGAATACAATATCTGATGTAGTCCATCTTCAACTGTACATGAATCCACAGACGAGAAGGAGGGGGAGCTGTTTGCGGAGGCTGTCAAACTGTCGAAGCAGCGGCTGCTCCTCTTATGAAAACTCTAGGTAGTCAGTCGAAGGACTCAGGCGCACGACGCACACGCGAGGAAAGGGAATATTTTTGTTGAGACTCTGGCTCAAAGACCATTAAGACGAACAATGTATTTTCTTTTCATCTTTCACGGCGGGGCGGGAAAGCAGCACGTTACGAGAGAAAGGCAATTTCTATCCATTGTTGTCTACTTTCGCTCGGGCGCAGCCTCCGACATCAAATCATATACAATATATATATATATATATAAAAAAAACTAAGTGACAACCTTTTGAAGTTACTGAGTGCTCATCATCTTTCATTTCCTTCTGACCACATCAGCCAGACCCTCTCAGTGGGGATTTAAACTTGGGGGGTGGGGGGGAATTTGACGATGACAGATTGATTTGCTAACACGGTTTGACAGGGATGACTGGAAGCCTTGTCATCTGCACCTTGAGCAACACCTGTGTCCTTGTGCACCTCGGGGGCAATGCTTTACTCCATTTTATCACAGCTTAGATTACCAGTTGTGGCGGCTCTAGTATGATTTTTTTTTTGTGTGTGTGCAAACACAATTTACTGTGTGACAACACCAGTTAAAGTTTAATCTCAAGTCTGAGCGATGCGGGTTGAGGTGGATTTGTTCAGGAGGGCTGTAAGAACTCATGAATATGTACCTGGCCCGACCTCGCCCGCTCTACTGCTAAAACAACACTGGCTGGGACTTGCGGTTTAAAAAGCTGCAGCCCCTCCCTTCCTCACTCCCTCCCCGCATTCTGCTCTTCCTCCTCTGCGTCCAACGCTCCCCACTCAGACTGAACCGAATAAACAGCAGCTCATGCAAATGGAAACCAGAGGAATGGGCGTAATTACACAGCCACGGAGCCCCAATCCCACCCTCCGTGAAGGGGCCGGGGGCGTCCACGGGGACCCCTTTCACTCAAGGACTGGAGGAGTCCTTGGCTAAGCGCACTAGAGCTGTAATTACAGACTACACCACTGTGCGGCAAAGCCGCATGGAGGAGCAGAGCCACATGCATGCGACAGGCATTGAGAGGGAAGATTTATGTGAGGGGTTAGATGAGCCAGTGGTGCCGAAACAGGGGGGAGAAAAGGGACATTGCAAAGTAGTGGAGATGCAGCACTGCCAAATGGGGGGGGGGGGGAAGGCAACGCTTAGGGGAGACATAGGTGTGCTGCAGGGGGTTAGAGGCCGGCTGGTGTTGTTGCTTCTTGTGCTGCTTTGTTCCAACTACGACCAGAGGGTCACAATGGGACAAACAAAGTATGTGTTTCCAGTCAAAAGCGTTACCATTCAAGAAAGTGTGTCCAAAGTTTTGACTGGTACTATACAAAAAAAAAAAGAGTAATTCAGCACCAGGTGAGCTGACTTAGATCAAAGGTGACATGAGGGGCCCTATTCAAACAGCTGCCATACCGTCTGGCCCTGCGCTGATAGCGAGGGACTCACGGAGCTGTGCACAGGACATTCAGCTGTAATGAGAGCTGGCTTGTCAGGCAGCAAGGAAAAGCATGTGCTTTGTTTTGTTTTGCATATATTGCACCACATTGGACCACGTCCGACACCAAATAACACCCTTTTGTCAAATTGGCCTCCTATGGTGCGTGGACGATAGCCAGAGAAGAGTACTGATCAGAAAAGCTGAGGCCTTATGTGAGTGGAAATCCTGTAAAGTCGTAAAGACGTTTTTGAATTGGACTTTTTTGTGTTACCCAAGGTGCATTACGAGCTATTTGACGTTAAATGGACTATCATCTACCGAACAGCTGCATTGAAGAAGAGTTGAAACTGACGTTTACAATGTTTGCCGGGGTAATAAATCGAGCGAGGAGCAGAGATCCTTTTGCATAAGGATGTACACTGTACAAGCACACTCTGCTTGCTTTAGTCACTTTAAATCAGTCAGAGATGTACTCACCCACGTGGGAAAACAAACACGGATGTGAAGAACAAGCTTACTTCCCCTTCCCCCAAATCAAAAATGGATGAGAAACATTGCATTAACATTTAATGTTTGCTTTTTGTAACTTAAAGTTCTCAAAGTTCTCAAATTAACATTTCAACCCCAAATATACAACATTAATCCATCTGTTTAATCCCGGCTATTTCTCAGTACAATGTAAAAGCAGACCTTGCTCTACATTTAAATCAATAACCCACAAATGAAAACCAGGACATCTCTAAAGCATAGGAAGCTTAATGTTTCATAGAGAAAGCTGCTTCTTGGCAGCTCGTCTCACAATAGACATATATTTAACAGTATTGTGTTGGGTTTTTTCCTTCGCTGTACTGGCCCACAACCAACAGTATTTCAAAAGACGATTGTTGGCTCATTTACCACGGGCCAAGCTCATCCAAAAGGAATCCATTTGGGTCATGTGAGTCAAATTAAGTTTGGAATAATTCACCTCTTGGTGCTGCGTGTGAGAAAGGCAAAAGATTAAATAGGACTCAATGCATATTTTAAAAGAGGCACTCATTACCGTCTTCTATTTAAAGCCGCACCAGGCAACTTAGCACACTGTTAGTCCCAAATGGCAGCGAGATGTCGCCGTTTGAAGACCGAAAAACAGTAAATGTGTGATGCGATGTCACTAAACTGCACCCAGCTTGGACATTAATGTCATCTGCTTTCATGGGAGGAGAGTGACAAGTTTCCCCTTTTTCCCCGGGCCTGCACTCTCTTCTGTTTGGGGGAAGATTTCCTGCTCCTGTCCAACCGTGACACTGAAAATGTAATCAGACAAATAGGTCACATCTGAAACATCTCGGTTTGCAGAGATGCCACAGTCTTTTCTACTGCCGCTCCACTTTGCGATTCAAGCAGATAAATCAACAGTGTTTTGGTGTAAACCTCAAACGCAGACTAAAAGTGTTTCACATAAAGATGCATCATCTCTTGAGTGCTCGATGCGCTTTGCTTACTCCATTGTTACTTAAGGGGGATGCTGGTTGGATAAAACACGGCTTGAGACACTGGGGATAATTACTGTTTAATGCAGTCCCAGTTCCCACGGCAATGCTACAGGCTTCTGTGCGCCGCCACTCATGACCACACATGAGGGTGGGTGTCCGTGCACACAGAAAACCCTTCATCATCTTTGTTTATTTCTCTGGTCGAACACATTCTCACTCAGTATTTTGGAGCTCAACCGGTGGCATTTTGCTTGGGTTATCAACAGAAATAAATTATTCAGGATAACTGGGAGCCATCTCATCGGAGGCTTTAACACATCCAGACGTGGCGCTTCATTTAGCAGCAGCAGCTTTTTTGGAAGGAGGGGTGTCCGGGGGCTGGTGGGGCAGCGTGTCAGGAAATTTGCTTTATACCCAGACACCATTTGATGGTGCGTCGGCTGAGGTAAACAATGGAGCCATTGTAC